GATTTTTTAAATTCAACAACAATTTTTAATAGATAGCGAAATAGAAATTAATAGACAGACAGACATACAGACGATATTTACATATATAAATTTCTCGAAATTACTACCAAAATTTTGCTATTTTTTCGGAGATGACTACTATGTGGTTTTTTTAATTTTTTAGTTTTTTAATTTTTTTTTAAAATCACACATAGTGTGTGAGTGCGTAGGTGGATGGATTAATTTATATATATAAATTTCTTTTAATTTTTCGGGGATAACTACTATCTGTTTTTTTTTTCGTTTTTTTTCGTTTTTTAATTTAGTTTTAATGTAGTTTTTTAAAACTAAGAAAACCACATAGTAGCCATCCCCGAAAAATAAGCAAAATTTTTGTACTTTTTAGTTCTTTTAATTTTTTAGTTTTTTTTAGACTACACATAGTGTGTGGGTGCGTGAGTGGGGGTGTAAAACTAAAAAAAAACACATAGTATGAACCACATGAATCACTAATTTAAATTTTGCAAATGTTATAAATATTTTACTTGGCATATAATAATTATTAATATATAGCGATTATTAATATATAGCGGAATAGAAATTAATAATGTGTGGGTACGTGGTTGGGTGGACGTGTAAAACTAAAAAAAAACCACATAGTAGCCATCCCCGAAAAATTAGCAAAATTTTGATACTATTTTTTAGACCACACATAGTAGCGTAAATTTTTCTAATTTTTCGGGGATGGCTACTATGTAATTTTTTTATAGTTTTTCACCCCCACCCACCCACTCACGCACCCACACACTATGTTCCACATTTATGGACCGATTTTCTCGGCGCCATCCTGCGTGTAAAGCTAGAAAAGTACATTTTCATGTGGTCGACTACGTCGTCGACGTTGACGTTTCTTAAGTGAAAATTTCCACATTGTGACTTTGCGTCATAATATGGCCGTTCACGACACATGTAGAGTGAAAATAAAGATATTTGTTATATAATTAATACACCCAAGCTATCAATTAAGCCTAGTAAGATCTCAATCAGTCCAGCCGTTATTGAAATCTGATAATTTCAGTTACTCTCAACTGACCGGCTCGCGTGAAGATACACGGTACGCCTTGCTGTTGTTGCGCATCACTTGGCGCGAGACACTGCCGTGTCTCTTGATCTGCTTCGATAAATAGCAATCGCATATGAATTGTTAATTATTAGTTATCATAGAGATCGAGTTTCAGATATCTTTTAATAATTTTCGCGATCACGTATAACGAGATATAAAGATATTTTCGTTATATAATTAATACCCAAGCTATCAATTAAGCCTAGTAAGATCTCAATCAGTCCAGCCGTTATTGAAATCTGATAATTTCAGTTATTCTCAACTGACTGGCTCGCGTGAAGATACACGGTACGCCTTGCTGTTGCTGCGCATGACTTGGCGCGAGACACTACCGTGTCTCTTGATGCACTTGGCGAATAAAAATGAAGTGTCAAAGCAAAGTTTCTTAATTCAGATGGAAAATTTTTACTTCTCTTTTTTTTAGCAATTCTTCCAACCATTGATTTATATTAGGTGAAAAGTTACTCTAAATGAAAAAAAGTTACAAAAAAATGAAATTACATAAAAAATAAACATATATAATAGTTTTGAGAATAGGTATTATGCATTTTCAAAATATAAAAAATGTGATATCTATATATATAAGTAGTTGGTGTCTATCTGTCTGTCTGTCTGACCGCAAACTACTTCTACATTTATGGACCGTTTTTTTCGAAATTGGTACCAAAATTTTGCTAATTTTTCAGGGATGGCTACTATGTGGTTTTTTTAGTTTTAAACCCCCACCCACTTTGTGTAATTCAAATATATTACAACTTTTGCTCTTATAATTGCCTGTCATATTATTTTTTATTTTAATTTCGTAATAAAAATTGACCAAACATTTCTATTTTATATCATATTGAAATTAATCGAGATTATTTCATCTGTTTAATTTTTTAAACTGACATGAGATAATAGTCTCGGTCCCGAGGGAGCCGTATCTACGTATACGGTATTTAATATCTCGCCATGTTCTCCCCACTTTGCCAGCATGCGCGAAACGAGGTCATTATCTTTTTGGATAGAGTATACATATATGGTATATGTATATACAGGGTGTATCCTAAAAAGTGGGAAGTATTGCAATGGGGGATTCAGGACACAAAAATAAAAGAAAAAGTTCATATAAACATATGTCCGATATGACCTTGTTTTCAAATTATAGCTTGTTTTATTTTCCAATAGAGTTCAGATAGCATACTTGGATATCGGTTTGCTGTTTATGTACAAGATTTAACTTGAAATATTGAAATATCTTAAAATCTATAAGTTTAAGACAAAAATGTTTTAGACAAAAGTTGTATGATTCACAGGGGGACATATGATGAAAATATGGACTTGACCTTGAATGATCTTTTCAAAGCCAAATTAATGTGATCGATGTTTTCTTAAATGGAACCCCCCATTTTTTATATCAAAGTATCAAAATATGTCAGATTAAGATATAAAATTACTCAAAAAGTACTTAATGAAAAAAATACTTTTTTATAGTGTTTTGCAAAACTCTCGAAATAAGCTACAAGAATATGTAATAAAAAAAGGGGGGTTCCATTATTCTGTTCCATTATTCCATTTAAAAAATTAAAGGTGTCCTTGACTTGATTTTAACGATGCCATCCAAGGTCAAACCAATGACACCATCTTATGTTCCCCTCAAAACCATACAATTTTTGGAATAAAAAAAATAGGGGATTCCATTTAAGAAATTAAAATTGAATATATGCTAATCTAATTAACGTATTATTTATATTTTGAATTTAACAGCGCCAAGTTTTCCTCTAATTGAAAAGTTATTTTGTACTTAAATTTGTCTTTTGAATTAAAAATTTTTTTCACTTAAATATATTCCACTATTTTGATCACATTGCAATTTTTAATATTAGAAATACTATACGCTTGTGCTATACTATAGATTACCTAACTAATCTGTCTCGTAAGTATATAGAATAAACACATCATAACTTATATAATTTATATTATATTATAACTTATATTGTAATTTAAATAAAAGTATTCTTGATGTCTATATCTATATTAACTGATATGACTGTCTATATCGATAACTGCTCGCAGTTATCCATAGTGGCTTTTGACTTAGTAAAAATTATATACATTTCGACTTTGGATTATAATATCTGCATTTATAGGATACGTAGAAGAAAAGTAAAAATATTTTCATAATATAAAACAAACTCAAGCTTTCGATTAAGATTATTAAAACATCAATCGGTTCAGCCGTTATTGAGGTTCGATGATCTAAGAACTCTTCAACTAGCCGACTCGCGTAAAGATACACGGGGTGCCTCACTGTTGCTGCGCATGACTTGGCGCGAGACACTATCGTGTCTCTTGATAAAAACCGTCGGCAGAAACACGTCGATTTCGAGTGGATTCGGGATCCTTCCAGAAGGACAAGAGTCAATAAAAACACCGCGCGCAAAGAGCGAGTCGCAGTCCGTTAAAAGTCTCGCTCGCAATAACGTATCGCTCTGGATAGAAAATCGCTAAAAAATTCGAGTATCTCCGTTGCTCGCGGAAAGACACTCCGCGAAACCTTGTAACGCGGTCACCTCGCTCGACGCTCGGATCGGCTCGTCGGTGTCCGGGTTCGAGAGGAGGGGAGACTCAAGCTTACGAGGCACAGTATAGGTAGAAACGATGCTTTATTTAGTAAGAGAAAGATAGATACAGCGTGCAGGGCCTGGCGAAGTCGTGCGTGGAGCGATGTCGCTGGTAGCAGGATGCGGGGCACAAAGCGGAGACGCAAAGCGAGGGTTGCAAAGCGACGAGAAGCGCAAGACAGGCTCGGCGTGCAATCGTTCCCGGTTATATTTACATGCGCTGACGGCGCGATTAGAACTAGAGGACTTATTACGAACAGGCCTTATAACTAGCGGACTTAGTACTATACAGGTCTTATTACTAGCAGGTCTTTTAACTAGCGGACTTAGGACTAGACAGGTCTTATTACTAGCATGCGGTTACAACTAGCGGACTTAGTATGAACAGGCCTTAAAACTAGGATTCGGTTACAACTAGCGGACTTAGCACTAACAGGCCTTAAGACTAGCAGGTCTAGGACTACGAGACTTAGAACTAGCGGACTTATCTCTATCATGCGATTATATTTACAGCGCGGTCTGTACATGCACTTATAAAGCTACTGTCGGGTGAGGTGGCTAGGTATTGCCGGCAGGCTCGAGTGTCACGTCGAGCACTGCCTGAGCAACGGAAGTCGGTTCAGCCCGACAGAGCCAAATACAGCCTTGACCCCAGGTAGAGGCGGGAGCCGGTGCAACTCGGCGGGGTCGAGGGCAACCTCGATTCCAGGAGTGGTGTAGGCAGGAGCCGGTCCAACCCGGCGGGGTCGAGGGCAACCTCGACTCTAGGAGTGGTGTAGGCAGGAGCCGATCCAACCCGGCGGGGTCGAGGGCAACCTCGACTCCAGGAGCGGTGTAGGCAGGAGCCGGTTCAACCCGGCGGGGTCGAGGGCAACCTCGACTCCAGGAGTAGAGTGTCGGTGCAACCCGACAGAGCTGAGTTCAGCCTCAGCCCCAAGAGGCAGTAGGTAGTGGTGAGATCGGTATCAGGAGCTGGTCGGGATAGGATCTGGTCCCGATGTCTCGGCCGGCCGGGCTTATATACCCGGCCGGCGTTCCTCACTGTGCGCCGTCGGTGGGAGTCGGTACCGCGTGGGGACCCCGCGAGAGAGATAGAGCGTGCCGGTAAGCGAGAGCGCATGCGGCTAGCAAGATGGCGGTAGCAGGACAGGTAGAGCTAGGTGAAATAAGCAAGCCGTGCGGGTGTGTATATATATATATTTACAGGCCGGTAGTAACGGCCCTGCCGTTACATTACCCCCTCCCCTTTTTAGATGGTGGCGGCGCCGGCCCCGGCGGCGGTTCGCCGTAGGCGGCTACTTCGGAGGGTCACGTCGGCGTTGAACCGCAAGATCCATAGGCCCTACGGAGTCCACTGGCGATGGCGACGGACTTGGGGGGCCGCGTGGTGTGGCACCTTTATCACCGTCCCGGTGGCGACTCGAATTGCCACCGGGTTCGGTGGTTGTGGTCCCAGGGCTGGGGTCGGCCGGGCAGTCCTTGGTGCCATTGATGGCTCCGGCTTCGGTGGTCGGGGGACGGCGGAGCCGGCTCGGTGTGGCAGGTGGTGGTGCCGCGGCGGCGCACGAGGCGATGTTTGGCCGGGTTGCTCGGGGCCGGGATGCCGGCCTTGGCGCCCGACGTCGGTCCGGTGGTGGTGGTGGCGGCGTGGACAGGAGGAGGATCTTCCTCCTGTTGTCTGCGTCGCCCCGCTGGATTGCGGTGCCGACGCGGGGTGCCGGTCGTCGGTGGCGGTCCGGTGGTTCTCCTCTCGGCGGTGTAACGGGTGTTGGCCCGGGACCGTTGGGGAACTCGCCCTCCTCGTCCTCGGACCATCGTCCGAATAACTCGACGAGTTGCCGGCGTTCGTCTTCCGTCGGCATGGTTCTGGTCGACTGATTTCTCGCGGTTCGGGGCTCGGTCTTTTATACGCGCTTTTGGAATGCCCAGTATGCGGTATGCGAGGTTTTTGCGATTTTCCGCGGCGCGTCATCGGATCGGTTACGCCATCGGTTGCGTATCGCGGGTTTTGGGCCGCTCCGGATCGCACGTTATCCTTGTATCGGTGTCCGGGGTCGGTAAGGCGCTCGTTTCCGCTTGTACCGACTTTCGCAATCGGTAAGCTTGACCTCCGGGGTCGGTACGCTGGATATCGAGGATCGTGGTCGATAACCGCGATGTTATCGCGCGCTATCAGTGTTCGTGATTGGTAATCGCCGGGTGCTGGTGGTTTTCCCGCGGTGGTGACTGTAGGGCGGGTTCCGGCTGTCAGGCGTTAGTCCGTTCGGTTGTCCGCGGCTTCGGGTTGATCCGGGTGTGCCTTGAGATCCTGTATATGCACGTGCCGGTGCCAGCGCCCGCGTTGCTCCCGGAGGTCGACGATGACCGGGGAGATAATTTTCCGTACTTCCAAGGGCTCTATGAATTTTGGGGCCAGTTTGGCGTTAAATGCCTTCGCTTTGTCGGAGAGTGTATGGTTCTTCTTCCATACGAGCTCCTCTATTTTGGGCCTCCAATCCCGCCGCCGCAGATTATGTCGTTCTTGGCGTTGGAATGCCTGCGCTAAGCATATTCGTACGAGCTCATATGCCTCTTGTAGCCGCCGGTGGGTCGTGTCTGGTGGTGCTCCGTTTTCCGATTGGCGCCGGTCTTCCGGGTGCGGCCTGGCGAGTTCTCTCCCGTGATTGAGGTAGGCAGGGGTGTGCCCCGTGGCCTCGCTCCATGCGGTGTTGAATGCGTATTGGAGAGCGGTGATGTGCTCGTCCCAAGTTTTCTGGTTCCGCCCCACGTATTGTGCTACCATCGTTTTGATGGTCCGGTTGGCCCGCTCCACAGGGTTGCACTGCGGCGTGTAGGGCGGCGAGGTGCGATGTCGGATCCCGAACGTGTTCAGTAGCCTCTCCAGCTGCTTGGACTTTAGTTGGGTCCCGTTGTCTGAGATGACCCACTGTGGGCACCCGTGTCGGTACACGACCTGGTCAACGAAGGCTCTGGTGACGTTAGCGGCGGTTGCTTTCCGCAGAGGCGTGACCTCTAGCCACTTTGTGAACCGGTCTTGCATCGTGAAAAGCCATGTATGCTGTTGGTTGGAGCGGGACAGTGGTCCCACTAGGTCTATCGAGACCTGTTGCCATGGTACGTCGACCGGAGCGGTGTGCAGCGTGCCGGCGGGTCGCTGTTGCGACACCTTATGAGCCAAGCAGGTCGTACAGGAGCGTACGTATCGGGCGATTTCTCGTAGCATCCCCAGCCAGTAATACTGCTGGGCGATGCGAGCCATGGTTTTGGCGGTTCCTAAGTGTCCGGCGGCTAGGTCGTCGTGCCAGCGTTGGAGTAGAGCGGCGCGTTCGGGTGTCGGGACGCATTGTTTCCACTGTGCGTCGGCAGGTACTTCCCGGAAGTCTAAGGGCCAATTTCACCAAGCTCGGTTAGATTAACCGACGGTTAAAATTAGCAGGGTGGCCAACAGAAAATAGAGGTGAAGGAAAACCAAGCATTCTTATCAATTCAGTTGGAACCCTGCTAATTTTAACCGTCGGTTAATCTAACCGAGCTTGGTGAAATTGGCCCTAAGTCGTGGAGTATATGTCGATACAGGAGCCCGTCGCGTATTTGGTAATCCGGTCGGTCGGCTGGTTGGGTCTGGACGTCCTGTTTGATCCGGCGATACCAGGCTCATGGCTGGGTTTGTCGTGTTGCGGCTATCTCGGGCTGGCGGGAGAGCGCATCGGCCACCTGGTTCTGGGTGCCGCGTCGGTATTTGATCTCGAAGTCGTATTGTTGAAGTTCGATCATCCAGCGTGCCAGTCGTCCTGACGGGGCCTCCAAGCGTTGGAGTCATCGTAGGGACTGGTGGTCAGTGAGTACGGTAAATCGGTATCCCTCCAGATAGTTCCGCATCCGGCGGATCCTCCAGACGACGGCGAGGCACTCTAGTTCGGTCGCGCTGTAATTTCGCTCGGCCTGATTTAACGTCCGGCTAGCGTATGCGATGACCCGCTCTCCTTCGGCTAGCTGTTGAATTAGGACGGCGCCCAGCCCGTGCACGCTAGCGTCGGTCTGCAGGGTGAACGGCACTCCGAAATCTGGACACGCGAGCACCGGGGCGGAAGTCAGGGCCCCTTTGAGGCGTTGGAAGGCCTCGTTTTCGGTGGCGGTCCAAGTCCAGCAGGCGTTCTTGCGCGTTAGACGTGTCAACGGTGCGGCCAGTGCGGAGAAATCCGCGATGAAGCGCCGGTACCATGATGCTAAGCCCAGAAATTGTCGGACCTGCCGAAGACTGGTTGGCACGGGCCAGTCGGCGATGGCGCTCACCTTGGCGGGGTCGGTGCGGATGCCGTGTCGATCGATGACGTGGCCTAAGTATCGGAGGCTGTCCCGGCAAAAGTGGCATTTGTCCACATTAAGTTGGAGTTTTGCGGTGCGTAGGCGTCGGAAGACCTCGGCTAGGTGCGTCAGGTGTTTCTCGAACGTCGGGCTGGCTATGACGATGTCGTCTAGGTATACTAGAACGTTGGGATCCAGCTCTGGCCCCAGGATGGAGTCTAGGAGGCGCTGGAACGTGGCGGGGGCCGAATGCAGCCCGAACGGCATGGTTCGGAACTGCATGAGTTCCTTCCCTGGCACGGTGAACGCGGTGACCGGACGGCTCTCGGGTGCCAGCGGGACTTGCCAGTACCCGTTCTTTAGATCCAGGGTGCTAAGGTACTGGGCGCCCCGTAGCTTATCGAGGGTGGCCGTGATGTGCGGCAGTGGATAGGCGTCCTTCTGTGTCACGTAGTTGACTTTGCGAAAGTCGATGCAGAACCGATGGGTGCCGTCTTTCTTTTGTTCCAGCACCACTGGGGAGCTCCAGGCGCTTTGTGATGGTTCAATCACGCCTGCGTCCTTCATCTTGCGTACCTCGCGGTCGATCACGGCCTGCATGGCTGGGTTACGCGGCCGATATCTCTGTTTGATCGGCTGGTCGGTTGTCAGGTGTATCCGGTGCATAATACGGTCGGTCGGTCCTCGTACGGTGGCGAAAGCGGCCAGTTTCTGGCTCAGGAACTCCCTTAGGCGTCGGTCATCGTCGGCGGTTCGTGGTGTTAGCCCGGCCGAGACTTCCCCTACGGCGGGCACCGCGGGGATGGTGGCGCCCGGGGGTGCCGGTAGTGCCACCCCTAGCTTGGCCCATAGGTCAATGCCGATCAGGATTGATCCGCTGAGGTTCGGCATGACCTGAAATTGATGCATTACGGTGCGGTCAATCGTGGCGACCGGCAGGTCTACGATTTGCGTAATAAGTATGGTGGTGCCGTCGGCCAAGTTGATCTGCTGGGTTACCCCCCGAGGGGGATGGCCGCAGTATTTGGCGCGTTTGGCCGTGGCCGGGCTCACAAATGAGACTTTGGAGCCGGAATCTAGCAGTGCCCATATATGTCGGTCGAGCACTCGTATCTTTAGATGCGGCCTGGGTGTGAACCTCATTGGGTTTGCGCGGGTCGGGCGGTGGCCGCTGGTTCCCCGGCCCGAAAGGCGTTTCCCGACGGCGGATGACAGTCGCGGGTGAGCACTCCATCTCGGCCGCATCGAGAGCAGAACTTGCGCGGCGGTCTCCTGCAGTCGAGCCGCGTGTGGCCTCGCTGCTTGCAGCGCCAGCAACACTCTTCCCGTCTGTATGTGGCTGCGGTGACCGGTGAGCTTGGCATACTGCGGGCCGGTGGTTGTTCCTCCTTCTGCCGGCGCAGGACCTTCTCGTGCTCGGCTGCTTAGCTCGGCGACGCTGGTGGCTTCTGCCACCCGAATGTACAGCTGGTAGCTGCAGTGTAGGTTGTTATATAGTAGGCGGGCCTTCTCCCGTGGTGTGTAGCCCCCGGCGCGCCTCATCATCGTTAGCAGGTCCGTGGCGTATTGGTCGAAAGACTCCCCAGGTCTTTGGCTCCGGGCTTGGGCATCTTGCCGCATTTGGTCCTGATAGTCGGGTGGGAGGTACTTTAGTCGGAAGGCGTCGCAGAAGGCAGCCCAGGTGGTCCAATCTTCGTGGTTGTTGCGGTACCACAACAAGGGGTTCCCGCGTAGCATCTCGGGTAACCCGAGGAGGAGGAACTCGTCGGCGTAGCGGTAAGATCGCTTTAATTCTTCGATTCGTTCGATAACCGCGAATGGGTCTTTGCCTTCAAAGCATAGGCCCCACTTTCGGATTCGATCTAGCATTGCGGTCGGATCGGGTATAGTCGTTTTGGTACGGTCGGGGATCGGCTCGGTATGGTCTGGGTTTGGCTTGGCCTGGTCTGGGGTCGGTTCGGGTCGTACCGGCGTTGTTTCTCCTTTGTTCGGCATGTCGGCGGCGTCATGTTCGGGGAATAGCGCGGGGTTCTGGGTTACGAAATTTCGCAGTCGATGTCGCAACGCGTCGATATTTCGGCGACGCTGGTGGCTTCTGCCGCCCGAATGTACAGCTGGTAGCTGGAGTGTAGGTTGTCATATAGTAGGCGAGCCTTCTCCCGTGGTGTGTAGCCCCCGGCGCGCTTCATCATCGTTAGCAGGTCCGTGGCGTATTGGTCGAAAGACTCCCCAGGTCTTTGGCTCCGGGCTTGGGCATCTTGCCGCATTTGGTCCTGATAGTCGGGTGGGAGGTACTTTAGTCGGAAGGCGTCGCAGAAGGCAGCCCAGGTGGTCCAATCTTCGTGGTTGTTGCGGTACCACAACAAGGGGTTCCCGCGTAGCATCTCGGGTAACCCGAGGAGGAGGAACTCGTCGGCGTAGCGGTAAGATCGCTTTAATTCTTCGATTCGTTCGATAAACGCGAATGGGTCCTTGCCTTCAAAGCATAGGCCCCATTTTCGGATTCGATCTAGCATTGCGGTCGGATCGGTTATAGTCGTTGCGGTACGGTCGGGGA